GGGGCAGGGTTTGAGTTCCACCTGGCTGGTTGAAGTTTGAACCTGCCAGCAGCAGTAGTCGCCTTTCTGAAGAGATTAATATGCACATCCGGCAGAGGAAGGACTGTAAGGGGAGACCCAATTCTACTGTCACCTGCCGCTGATTATTCTCAGTTCCTAAGGGGCAGAGGTGCAAGAGGGGATGTCCCAGAGGAAGATGCCCCCCAGGGGGATTGCAAAGGGCCACACACCAGAGTGCCTCTGAGCACTTCACCCCACCGCAGGAAAACTCGGAAAAGGGTTACTAAGAAAACCGCGAAGCGGCGACCTCCAGGTGGCAGTGCGGCTTCTGCTGCAGCTTCGCAGCTCCGCAGGAAGGGCCTTTTATGTCAGTCTTCTGAATTAGGCAACGGGGAGGAAGCTGCAGCCTGCAAACAGACAGCGCTGCGAGGCAGCAGAGAGCAGCAGGCAGAGAGAAGAGAGCCCAGAACCACGGAGCGGACCGGTGTCCGGGAGGCGGCCCGCCGAGAAGGGCTCAGAGTGCCGCTTCACAGCAGGTCTGCTCCAGAAGCCCCGTGGCCGCAGGCCCGATCTGGGAACCCCACACAGCATTTGTGTGGGTTCAGAGGGTTTGCAGGACAGCAGGTTTGACATTCACTTGGTCGGAAACCGGACTAGCTATCCCTGCTTTTTTCTGGGTTCTTGCCATATAGATTGTTTTCCAGCCTTTTCACTTTCAGTCTTTGAATTTCCATTTGAGGTAAATATATTTCTTGTACACAGCATATACTTGGATTTTCTTTCCTCATCTGGTCTGCTTCTTTTGATTGGTGAATTGAGGCCATTCACATTCATGGGTATAACTCACATATATTGGCATACTTTGTCTTATTCTTTTCCTCCTGTAGGTTCCCTATTATTCCCCTGTTTAATTGCTTGTTCTTCTTGGTGACTCCTTTTTATTGATTTTTCTTTTTTTTTTTTTGCGGTCCCCTGGGATTGAACTGAGGATCCTGAGCTTGCCAGGCAAGCACTTATTCTACTGAGCTATCTCCCCAGCTCCTGCTGTTCTTGAAGTTGTGGTCATTTTTGTCTCTTTCCAGACTATCTGTCAGTAGTCTTTCTAAGGATGGTTTGATGGACAGGAATTTCTTCAGCTGTCTTTCTGTCATGGATGTGTCTTAAGTCTCTTTTTTTTGCATTATTTTTGATAGGTTGTTGTGTAGGGTACATCAACCCAGGTTAGAAGTTATTTTCTTTCAGAAGCAGATATTCACTCCAAGCTCCTCTTGATTCGATGGTCTCTGCTGGGAAATCTGCCATGATTCTCATGGACTTCCTGTCAGCTACTCTCTTCTCGTTGCTGACACGAATACCCAACGTCCACAATGAAGGAAGGAAGGTTTCTTTAGCTCACAGTTGCTGGAGGCTTCAATCCATACTCAGATGGCTCCAAGGCAGAGTGGCACCTGGCAGAGGGCAGCCTTTCCTGGTGCTGGCGAAGAGCAGAGAGCAACATGAGGGGCAGCGCCCAGGCAGCTAGCTGGCCTCTCCGCCCTCCTCACACTGTACAGCGCATCACCTGCCCAGGGCAGGTGCAGCATCCACACCCACAATAGTCCATCACAAACTGCAGAAGCCGCCCTACGACTGCATGAGGCTTTGGGGAACAACTACACACAAACGCTAATGGACTTTCCATTGGGTTTGATCTGTTCCTTCACTTTAACAGCTTTTAATATTCTATTCTGCTTAAATTCTGGGATCTTGATTTTTAAGTTTCTGGTTGTAGATTTATTTTGGTTATGGCTGACGAGTTTTTTATGCCTCACTTTACTGTATTTCAGCTCCTTCCCATGTTTGGGAAATATTCTGCTCCTCCTTGTGCTAATAGTCTTTTTATTCCATTTGTGCTTCATTGTCCTGCTGTTTCATTTGCACTTATCAATCATGTCGTTTTTCATTGCATCATCTTGCAGGTGGTGAATTTTTCTTTCCTTGTTCCTTGTTATTCTTAAAGATCTTTCCCTTCATGATCTCTAGCTGCAATGTCGTTTTCAAGGCCTAAAAATCTATGTTTAGTTTCATTCATGTGGTTTTGCCAGCATTCTATGGAGCTCATTTCCTGGATATGAGTGTAAATCTGTTTCATGCATTCTAATTCTTTCCTTTATCGTTCATTCAATGTTATCATCATTTTTCTTTTTTTAATCTGTGTTTTCTTTAGCTGTGCTGATCAATCCTTTCATGATTGCTCATTTCCTTTTCACCTGCGAGCTTATTTCTGGTCTGATTTCTCCTCTAGCCTGCTAGTGTTTCTTTCCTTCCGTTTCTATCATTTCAGAAATTTATCTCTCTGGAGGTCTGAGATTGCCTTTTGCTCCATCACATGGCTGTGATGACTGGTGGGAGCAACAGCTCAGCAAGGCGCCCAGGATGGTGGGGCTGGGTGCAGGCCAGTGAGGCTCCTGCAGTGGTGGGGTGGGCGTGAGATAGGGCTTGCTAGGGCT